CAGTAAGGGTACCTGGGGTGGCGGGGGGCACTGGGAAGCTCCGCCAGGCTCTGAAGTGGTGGAGGGGCTGGGGGGGCTGGGCTGCCACAGGAGGCAGTGGGGCTGGGAGTGTCCCGTGGGTCACTGGGGACTGTCTGTGGGGTATGGAGGGGGTGTCCCTGGGGCACCTGGAGGTGCCCGCCTGGCTCTAAGGTGACAGGGGGGCTGGGGGGGCCGGGAACATTGAGCAGTGTCCATCGCACATGAAGAGGGGGGGTCCGTGGGGCACTGGGGTGGCCCTGAGGTGATGCAGGAGCTGCGGGTGGCTGGGCTACCAGAGGGCAGCGGTGGGACTGGGGAGGCATTGGGGGGTGTCGGTGGGGTGCTGAGCTGTGGAGCACTGAGATGAAGGAGGGGCTGGGACCACCATGTGGGGCTGAGCTGGGAGGTGCACCGCACCCTGAGCTCGCCGCTCTGCCACGGAGCTGCCTGCTGTCTCCCTCTTGTCCACAGAACGTCCCGGGTTGGAAGTGACCCCTGAAGATCATCTGGTCTGACCTGTCCTGGGGAAGGGAGCCTGGATGAGGTTACCTTGCACCCTGTCCAGGTGCGTCTTGACACCCTCCAGCAATGGGGACTCCACCATGACCCTGGGGAGGGTCCAGCAAGTGATTGCTCTCACTGTAATGTATTCCTTAGGTTGAGATGAAACCTCTCCCAGTGCAACCCATTGCCCCTTGTCTTTTCCATGTGGCAACTTCTGAAGAGAGAACCCCCTCCTGCAAACTGATCTTTTTATACTTTCTTAGTGTTTTGGGCCAGGACCAGCCAGGAAACTCCACATTTAACTTTTGCATTTAACAAAAGAGGGGGGGTTGGACACTGAACTCAGCTGTTGCAGAGCTCCATCACCAGGGACAAGCTTCCTTCAAAATGGTACAGAAACCACCACAGCCAAGTGCTGCTCCAGTGTCTTCCCTCTTTCTCCCCACTGCTTTTCTGTAATTCCCTCCTAAATAGACAAATTTGTTAAACAAAAAAAAAAGCTCTGTGCTTTCACGTTGACACTCCTATTCATGTCTGGTCATATTTCTCTAAACGTCTCCAGTAGAGTTGTCCCCACCACGATGGCAACCCTTGCAAGGTGTGCAGAGCTGAACTGGCCTTGAAGGAGCTACTGACCAACCAACCATCTATGGAGCACAGCAAATAACCCGGCTCGCCAGGGAGACGCAGAGCAGTCAGATTGGTTCAGAAACAGGCCCTTTTCTAGCACCTCTCTGGGCACCTCCTGGCTTCTGGTGAGGGAAGAAGATACACATCCACCTCCTGCTTGGGCGTCTGGCCTGGACCGAGATCTGCTCTCAGAGAAGAGTGGGTAGATCTATGTGGAGACCCATCCAAGCACCCCAAACCTTTAGAGTAACTGCTCAGCCAACTGGGCATCCACGTCCAGGCCACAATTTTGGGGTAACTGAAGTTACCTGTCAATGTGTTCTTAGGCAAACAGCAGGAGCCAAAGCCTGGAATGACACCGCCTCACCAGCGCCACCACCTCTGCCTGGGGCAGGCATGGTGAGGGGGCTGCATCCAGCTAGTGCACTGCTGGTACGGGGTGCAATAAGCAGGGGAGACCCTGCCCCGGGGTGTAGGTGACCTCCTGGGGGCTTTCTCACTCAGGTGTGGACCTGCAGGTCACAGGGAGCAGCATGGGATCCTGTAGAGGTGGAGCACCCACATCTCCCACAGAAGGGGTGTGCAAGAAGGGGAGACCCCCTCCCAAGAGAGGGGTGCCTCCCCCCCAAAAAAAAACTTGTGAGAGGGGTGCACATAACCGTCTGCACGTGTGCACAAACCCATGTGAGCGCAACTTCTTGGGATTACTCATAGACGGGTGCTTACAAATCTGCTGTTGATTTTAAAAATTAACATTTCAGAAATACCTATTACTTCTGCTAAGACTCAATGCTTGCTGGTTAATAATGTGTTATTAATCTATAAACAGCTTCAGTCCTGATTTAATTTAAACTGCGTGAACAGTTTTTTCCTGCAACAGCCACCACAGTGCACATGGGTGTAAAAAATGTGTGTGACACAGTGAGGTGCCAGGGGAGTCTCTCAAGCCTGAGATGTTGGGCACCAGGAGGCGAGCAGGTTCCTCTAGGGACCTGGGCCCCTCTGCCTCTCCACCTTATGCTCAAGGGACAGGCTGTGAAGTCTGTAGATCCACAGAAACTTAATGGAAATGCCAGGTCAACTTCTCCAAGCCTCCCCAGACTAAGAGGCCACCTCAGTGGGGGGAACAGGACACTTTGCCTTCCCCATGAACTGCACAAGTGCCTTCCCTGAAGAGCCAGATGATGCTGGCTGAGGTCCTGGTCCTTAACCTCAGCCTCCAGATGAAGGAATTCAGTCCTCCAGACTCAGGATTGGTGGTCTCCATCCTCTCCTTGAGTCTCTCTCCCTTTGCCAAGCTGGAGGACCAGCTTTAGGCCACCAGAGCAAAGAAAACCTGGCTCTTCCCTCTAATGTACTCTAGAAGGTCCTTGCAAAGGAGGAGGAGAGGGAGAGGAAGGCCAGGTCATTAACAGGAGCACTCAGCCCTGTATCTACAGCCCTTGCACATCTCCCCAGGTTCACACACTTGCCACTGAGGCCTCTGGTTGTTCCTGGGAGATACTCTTCCTCTCTTCCACCCTCTACCACACCTGCTCCCAAACTGGCTTAAGCAATTTTTATGGCTGCACAACTGCGTAATATACCCTGAAAGTCCTCTGTTGAGGACTCGGCCAATATGATATGAACATCACATACCTGCTCATCAACTCCAGACCACATGTCATCAGTTAGAGCAGCTGATCAGCTTCATTCCAGTAACCCCCCAGTTGTTAGGCTCTCCTCCCAAAATAATGCCGCATGGCAGCTGAGGAACATCTCTGTGAGCTGACCAAAATTTAGTCACTTAAAAGACTAATTTGCATCCTGAGTTCTGTTAACAGACCCTGATCTTTTATTTATTTTACAACACACAAATACATCATATTACAATGTAGTAAAAAAAAAGGACTTAACTAAAAGCCTCTCAGAAGAGAAAATCCATTACATACATTTCAGGAGACTACTCCCCTGTCTCTCTGTGACAACCCTTATGGTTTGTTTCCAGCTCACACTGTCAATGTAGAGGGTTGAGTACTCCTAGTTTGAAGTCAGTGAGTGTCTGGTTCTCTGCTGGTGCAGAAGAGGGGGTGGCTGAAAGGGGCAACAGCAGGGCTTCACTGGGCAGGTACGGCCAGGCGGGGAAGCAGGGGAGCTGCCTTCTGGCTGCGCTCGGCAGACATGTGCTCCAGGCGCTCTGTGTAGAACCCATTGAAGTCCAACCTGAGAGACAAAAAACCCAGAAGTTTTGGCAGCCTGCTGGCTCAACACTGCCCAAGAGCAGCATGCAGCAAGCCGAACACACTGCCAACGGCCCCTGAGAGCTTGGTGCTGCAAGTGCCGCAGCACAGGTGCTCATCGAGGCGCTTGAAGGCAGCAAGAGGATCTAAAAATATGTAAACTCTTTTATGGGGTCAGATGAATTTTAGGACAAAGTTTGTTGAAATGAGGGGTGTGAAGCAAAGCAAAGCAAGTCTCACTGCGGGAAGAAGGGGGGATGCTTGCCTGTGCAGCAAAGGGGTCTGCGCCGCAGCACAGACCTCTCAAGCAGCCGCCACTCCCCCTTGCCCACCCCACCAAGCACTGCCTTCCTCTTACCCAACCACGGCTCCTGGATGAGAAACCTCTCCCAGGGCATCAGCTGAACGGGGCCACACTGCCACGAGCTCTGGACCTGCCATCCCTGCACGGGACTGCCTCAGGCTGGGTAGACATAGCAGCTTGTTCAGAGCAAGATGGGGATGTCTGCACTGTGCCACAGGGGTTGTCGGTCACACCTCTTCTGTGCTCATCCCTTGACAACAGGCTAAATTTCACCTGTTCTTTACACATGTATAAAATACACCAGGAAGGACCAATTGCTAATAGCTTCTTCTCCAGAACTACAGCTTGACCACACAAACCTGGCGACCTGTCACTCGGGGACAAGGCACCAGGGGTGAGGGCTCCTCAAACCTCCACACCTTCCTGGCCACTTCCCACCACTCCTTAATACCAGAGTTCACCACCATTGAACTCTGGTATTAATTCCCATATGAAATCCACCATATTATCCACTGTAACTACCATGACATGTTGCAGTTTCCATTATCACCACCTCCTTGCTAACACAAGTATGCTTCGAACAGATTCACAATTCAAGAAGATGAGAAGATGCTCAGCCAAAAGCACAAGTACTGCTGATACTTGTAAACGGCCCTCCAAAGCAGGCAACATCAGTGATATCATAATCCTGTCTCCTTGATAATCCAAATGATGCCAGAAAGCCACCCAGCTCCACACCTGCTGTGACCTTCCTTAGGCAGATCTCTGCACTACGAAGCCAACTAAGACGTGCTGCTCTTAAAAACGTGTGCCCTGGGAACACCAAGCAATAGTCAATATAAGCCTGTGAATCACACAAAAGTTACTCTCTACATTTCTCAAATTAAGTTGCTCCAATACTAAATGAATGGGCACAATATTTGAGTTTCATGTTGCTTAACAACCTTACACAAACGGCAACAAATTGTTCCTTGACATTTTTTGGTGACTGCAGAAAACAGAGGCTTGACAGATGGAATTTATCTGTTGCTCTCTCCTGGTTGAAAAGCTTACATCTCTTTCATCCTTTAAGTGTTGTACAAAGGAAACCTGACACTGAGGAGAGCATATTTACCAAACTTTGATTCCAATATAAAGCCAGGACTCATTTACATCCTTGCTTTGAGGATCTGTTCCATTTCTAAAGTTGCTTTATTGCAAAATTCTTGAATTGCAGATTTTGATTTGCTTCCCTTTCAGCTATGTTTTTAGGGTTAAATGATCTTTGTAACTGTCTCTTAAGGATTTGCGTGATGCTTCTGCAAACTCTGCTTACACTTTCAGTTTCCTGTTTTGTGGCTGGGAATTTTTTTTCTGGGGTTTGCATCATCTCATACATCCTACTGGTCTTATGCTAAGCTCAACCATTGCCGTTTCCTCTGAACTGGTAAAGGAAGGATATCTGATGAATGCTAACAGCACTTGATGCCTAAGATTTCTAAGTATTTGGTTTCAAGTAATCCTTCTGACAAAGTCCTCTATGCTGTAATTCTTCTCCTTTTCACTACTGGGATGTGAAGGAGTGACTCCGGAGATTTTCTGCCATTGCCAACCCTCTGTCAGCACTGCTACTGATGGAGCCAAGGCACCTGAGCAGGACTTCAGCACACTGAAGATGTGTGAGTTATGTGTGAGCTTCCCCACTTTGAAGAAAGCCCTCTGGATCTCCATCTTCTGTTGTTTGGTGCTACAAATACGATGGTTGTGCCTCAGCTACTCAGTACTGTAAACTGAATAAATATTAACCAGGATCAAATAAATAAAAGCACAGTACCAGAATTATGAATAAAAGGGATATTTTGTTATCTATCTTACATGTTGACTACCACCCTTGAAAAGCAGTCATATAAAAAGGTTATCATTTATAGGAAAATACTGGTATGTCTTAAAAACTCTTCCATCTCTCTGTCAAATATGTTATTTCAGATGGCAACCATCTCCACTCTGGTTCTTGGGTTCCTGTTGCCATAGAGTCCAGGACTCGATCCAATAATCTCTACAGACTGAATGAGAGCTAAATGTCATGTCTGGGCATTCATCGTGGGACTTCCACTCTTTTATACTGAGCAGCCTGTAGAAATGGAAAGACAGGTTCTGTTGCATGGCCTGTTAACACGCAGTATTTCAGTTAAGGAGGGACATCTGGTTTGTCAGTAAAGGTCCAGCTATGTCCAACATCTTGGTGAAGGCTCACATGGCCCCAGACAGTCCAAACTGGGGGACTTGATAGAGATGACAGTCCTATTGGCATAAAGACCGAGTATTTCCTCTGCAGCCCTTGAACAGAACTGGGGCGTGGAAATACCAGGGGGGCACACAGCTTAGGTCATCATCCTCAATGCAAACTGCTAACAGAAGCATTTTGTTTTCTCGCAACCCGCCTGAATCACCATACTTCTCCTTTCTCCTGAAGCAGGATGTACTCGTTGTAAAAACCAACCTCTCCATATTTGGAAGAACGGGCTCCAGAGCTTCCACAGCTCAGGAGTCACCTCCTGGCACAGCTAATGCTCGTGTGCAGTCTGTGAAACACAAAGGCATCTGGCGGAAGATAGCTCCTGGTCATGGCGCCATGGACCACGGACAACTGAACAAGATACACAGCCAGTCTCCATGGTGCAGCATCAGCTCATCCCACCATCCTGGTAGAAGCATAAAGTTGACACAAGGGTGGGGATGCAATGATAAAAGAGGGGAACCTCTGATGCTAAGTGTAGGAGCAGTGCTGGAAGGAGGACACCACCTGAGCTACTGCCAGAAAAGGCCTTATATCAATGTCTGGCATCACACGTTATAAAAGTGTGATGGAAGGCCACAGGACTTCTGCTGTTGCATGGTGTATAGACTGGTTGAGGACATGACATTGTTGACTTCATGAGTAAGCTGAGAACATACTCCAGCCTTGGACTGAGCTGGGTGATCCCACCAATGGGACGATCTCCACATGTTCTTTACAAGACTCAAGAACTGTGGGGTCATGATGCTTTTCTATTAAAAGAGCAGGCAACTTGGGTCTTCAACACTGTGTTGGCCATGCCCTGTGCCACCCGCAATGATGTCCAAGCACCTGGATCATAGAGTTAGTTCCCATTAAGATCTCCTGGATGGAGCATCATTAAAAAGCCTGTCTGTTAGAACTTGTACTGGTAATGATAAAAATGTAAGCCCTTGATAAAGAAGGAGGCAGGGCTGATAAAGGAGGCAGGGCTGGAGCACTGAGAAAGAGTAAATTTTCTTGCCTGGATGACTCAACTGCTTGTGGTCTTGATCCCTGAATCTAGCCTGACTCTGGATGCTACTGTGACACCTAGGAGTGATGGCAGTGAGGGGAGTGTAAGAGCTTAATCCCTTTGGCCTGTCAATTTTTCTACAGATGGATCCTGCCTGCAATCTACAACAGTCCAATGATGATAAACAGTGATGCCCAGGCAGATGAAGGCTGACATAAAATGTCCAGAAGGCCTTGATAAGCTGCATCATCATTTCCTAAAAGGATTTGCAGAGACTTAACTGTCCTGGTTAGTCCTGAAAGGAACAGCAATCACTTGTACAGTTGGGGCCTCCACTCACAGCCACAAAAAAAGTCTTTGAAGAATTTCCAAGATGAGAAGGAGACCTCTGACTCTGGTCACTTCAGAGATGGAGTGAATCAAGAGTTATTAGGACTGTGGAGAAGGGGTCCTCACCTACCTTCCCATTTCAGGGACTGAGTATCAACCAACAAGGGCAGTTCTGGTGGTAGGAAGATAAGCTGCTACCCTGACAGGGAATAGAAGCAGGAGAGTTCAGAGCAGCAAGCAGTCCTGTGGCACTGTACTTCCTTTCAGATGCCTGTGAGCATCCCTGTCCTCCTTAAATAAGGAATACATTCCTACAAGGAAGAAGACAAGACATGTAATTCTCTACAGTGTTGTGGGAGCTGGTGGGCTAGACTCCACTCCTGGAAGCACCCATGGTAACAGGGATGACAGGTTTTACTGTTCAACCTTGGTCTCAGCTGTGTGACCACATCTCAGATAGAGCAGCAGATGCTAACACAGGAAGCCAGGGGCTGTGTAAATGCATGGTAGTTGCTGGTCAAGAAGTTCTCAGAAATAAAAGATAACTGGAAGCCCAGTCTCCTGCTGGAATACTTCACAAAACAGTGTTTGCAAAGGTTGGTACCAGGAATCCCAGACAGCCCTGTCAGATGCTGTTAGAAAAGGACAATGAAAGCTTCAAGAGACAGGGCATGAGAAGGGGACAACCTGCTTCAAAAAAACATTCCTGAAACCTTTTCTCTCTCTGTTTTCAGGTGTAGCACATCTCAACAGAGGTGTAAGGGTTGTCAGCTGTCCATAAAAGACATCTGGTACAGAAGGGCAGCAAACAGAACTTAATGGTTGCAGGTTAATATTCTTATGGTTTTCCTGAAGATTAAGTTAAAGGATGAGAACAACCAACAAAAAGTACAGTTCACAAAGACCGACCAAACAAAGCAGAGGAGCAATAAGACTACACTTAAACAAAACAAAACAGAGGACAAAGCACAGTTAGGAGAAAGCTCAAAGTACCCTTTAGTCCTATGTGGTTAAAAAGAACTAAATAAGGATCTACCCTGTTCTGCACTAAATATCAAAGGGGCTGTGGGTTTCCTGTGGCATGAAACCCTACAGCACCAAGGGAAGAAAGAAAATGTATGTGATTAACCAGTTATCAGGCACATTTATGAACAAAATTACGTATCACTGACAACTGATCCTAGCATATCTACTCTTGAAAAGCATTACAACTTTAGATGAATAACATTCTTAAAAGTAGGGAGTAGAAGTAAACCAAGGGCTTTCCTCGGAAACAGATGAAAGGAAACAACACCTAAAAATGACCTTAATTTCTGCCTAGTCCTGTAAGAGCTGTTTACAATTGCTTACACATGAAAATAAGGCTACACATGGCCTTACAGACAGCACGAAGAAACTAATGGATGTTTAGGATGGCTTTGTTTTCTGTCCCCTAGCTGACAGCAACGACAAAGAAGGTAAGTCTCAAGTTTTCTAGGCTCTCACACACCGTAACAGTGCAAATGTGTCTATTAAGACTTAAAAACACAGAACAAGCACTTAAAAAAGTGTTGTGTTTAAATATTTTATATTCAGGAAAATCCTAGCCTCTTAAAATTATGCCTATATGCAATATATATCCTGCCTCTTCACTGGAAAAAATAAGTCACTGTAAAAATGAATTGGTTTTCACATGTGCCTAACAGTCTGCAAGCAGCATTTCTGAAGTGTCACAGTCTTTGCCAGGTGTGAGGCGGATGGTGCGCAGCAGCTCTTACATGTGACTTCTACTGAGGTGACTCTCTGAATTAAGAGATGTCAACTCCTGACCCTCGCTTGCCTTCTTATTCTGTGGTTATACGCATGCCTCAGCTGAACATTTCCAATCTGCAGGCTGCTAGGTTTCATGGGTGCTTAACTCTTGAAAAACACATTCCAGTCACAAACACTAAAAGCTGCTCCCAGCAGCAAACTCCATTGTTGCAGTTATTTCTGTTTTGCTCCTAAAGTGTGATAGCAGGATCAGAGCAAGAAGCGTTCTGCTTTCATAGCGCATGTGCTCAACTCCGGGTAATGCTCCTAGAGCATTATCTGTGGTTCCTCAAAGCTAGAAGTACCAGGGCAGGTCCCTCCATGCTACCGCAATCTATAACACAGATCTTAAAAAGCTCAGCAACACTAGTATGTATGACTCTCATAGCAAAAGCAAATGTTAATCATTCCAAAGAAGGCCTCATGCATGTCATTTTACTGAAAAACAAACACAGAGGTTATAAACCTAGCAGCAAAACCTAATCTCCTTATCTCTCTCTTTTTCCTGTAGTGTATTTTGTGTACCTGCCTTTTAGGTATTACTGAGGAATTTTGATTTCTAAGAAGTAGGAAGTATGGGTGAGACCACAATAAAAACATATTAAGGGATGCTTATTTCAATAAATACAAGATACGAACTTAAAACAAAATAGCCACTTATGATCAATCCCTTGCATGGTTTTCTCATCTTGGAATACTTACACTGTATGCAGGAATCAGCTTATTCACTGTCTACCCAGTGAGATAATCCCCAAGAAAACTAACACTTGCATTACATTTACAACATTAATAGACAAATTTCACATAATTCAAAGGAATGTGGTTCTTTTTTTGAAGCCTTGGGTTGAAATGCAAAGCAATATTTATTGTGATTTCATTGTTTTCATTGATGGGGCAGACATGCACAGTTATAAACAGCAATTATTCTTCCTGAGCTGAATTTGAGAACCACAAGAGGGGAAGTTACAGAGAGAAAACTACTGGCTCACCTGTAGATGATGTTGAGCATGCTGTGCTCACAGTCATTGGTGCTGTAAACGCTCAGTTTGTCCAACAGGTCCAGCAGATGTGTTGAGAAATTGCTATCAAACTTGTTGATCGTTGCTTCGAAGCCAGATGTCAGGTGGAGGTTGTCAGCATGTTCTGCTAAAAGCTATCAAGACAAACGCATAGTGGCCCTATGTGTTTGCTGATTCGCACTTGCCAAAGAGATGCAATTATTCCTTCCCTATTTCCTAACCTGCTCAAAAATAATGCCATAAAACTTAACAATTGCTCAGTCACTAAAATAAAACTTTCAAAACAGTTGCAAGGTCCTTGGTAGTTAAAAACCTTGCTGTGCCTATCTGGGAGAACCCGAGTAGATCCCAGTTGAGTTATCCTCAAATATATGTTGTCATTATTTATTTTCAGGCAGGAGGAAAAGCCAGGAAGCAGAAAGTGAGTGTTGCCTATGACAGGCTGTAACCTCTGGAGCACTCTGCCTTGCAGTGTGATGGACTCTACTGGCTGAGTGCCAGAGAGGGGGTTTCAGCAGGACAGGGGCAGCCTGCTAACAGCAGAGCATGCCAAACAAATCGCTTAGTACATGTGCATCGATGGAGAAATGTGGACAAGACAAATACCCCAGATGTGAAAGGGATGGGCTGCAGAGTCACACCTGACAGTTTATTGCTTCATCCATCACAAAATGCTAGTTCTGGAAAGAAGAAAGTTCTTGAGTTGCAGAAAGCCTGTATGTGGGTACCCACTGCACAGCTGAAAATACAACTAAGAACTTAAAAACAAGTGCAGGGACTGCTGAGGGAGACAGGGTCTTCAAAGCAGACTTTGAGAACACCATCAGCGCTTCACACTACCCTCAAAAATGCCTGCAAAGATTCTGGGTGCTCTAGAAACTAGGAAGGTCTACCTGCAAGAGGTAGGACAGTCACCCTGACCAGACTGCAGCCCTGGCGGCATTCACAGAGGAAAGGGCTCAGCTGTCCATCCTGTGTCCCACCTTGTTAGTCAGCTTCTTCTTCGCAGTCTCTTCAGCACGCTCCTCCTCTGTTGGTGGGCCCAGCATTGTGCCGTGCTCTAAGGTGAGCCGGTCCATCTCATTATCCAGCTTCATGCTCTGGGTGAACCTCTTGGAAGGGCAGAGGGTTGGGGAAACGGTTAGATTCCATTTTTTCAATTATGGCAAAGCATGAGGCTGGCTCAGTTCTACTAGCCCTGTAGCTAGCTAACTCCCATGAAAGCTAACTCCGAGATTAAATTTACAATGTTAATACACAAAGCTCCCTAAACCCAAAGGAAGGTAGGGTTTTTTTAAAGCTATGGGCTCCCTGAGATGCTGGCTAGAGTGTGTTCACGGAGATCAGTCTCCACGGGTCCAATCACCAGTCCTCACTTGACCCTCAAAATAGCATGCTAAAAACTACAGAGCCTTACCACTTACACCTCAGATTCTGCTGCGGGACTGGCTGAAGAGAGGTAATTCAGTTCATATGAGGCTGATGCCAACACCGAAAAAGAAAAGCATAAAGAATTTTGTGGAGGGAAAAGCCACAGAAGCCATCTGGGAGAAAGGATGAGGGTCTGAGCAGTCAAGCTCTAAAGCCTGCTGGCAGGAGGAACAGAGGCTCTTCCACGTGCATCGAGGACAAGAGGGGTTGAGTTGAAAAAAAGGACTGTCATAGCTGTCTGGCACCCAAAGCAGCTGGCAGTGGCATGGTCAATACGGTGAGGCTGTACATACCTGCATGCAGTTTGTAAACATGACACAGACAGACATCAGCTTGGAGAAGATCTTCAGCAGCTCCGGGTTGGTTAGCATGCAGTCCTTCAAGCAGTTATCCAGGAAGCTTGTGTGGTGGCTCAGGACATCATCAATATTAGATGCCTGTGGCAGGATAGCACAGTAATGAAAAACCAAACCAGGACTGCTGTGCTGCACCAGACCAAAGCTCTAACCCAGCATCCTGCCTCTGACAGTGACCTCTCAGACATGCTCGAGGGCATGTTCAGATACTTCTCATGTACCTTCCAGCTTCAAGAAACATCCTGGGGTGGAGACTGTATTTGCATTACTGCATTCAACAGCCCTTCACCGGCTTTTTACCTATGATTTGTCACATCAACTTCTCAATCAAATTATGCTTCGTTTAATCATAAAAACCCTCGACTGGAAAGGAGGCTCAGGATGGAGTTATGTGCTTTATGAACATGCACTTCCTTTGCTTTTAAATCTGCTTGTCATGCCCACTCCCACCTTCACAATCTCAGTAAAGTCAGCTACAATAAGTTGAAAAGAGGAAAATAAATCAAAGAACCTTAAATGTCAGTAAGTTTTCAAGGCTTAAAACATACAGGTTATTCAGAAATGTGTTTTAGGAGCACAATAAGGAACTGAGACATGCAGTGTTGCAAGGATTCTGTAAGATTTTTGTCCAGCTCTGCTACTTCAGTGGGCTGTTTCAGTCTTGAGTTTTAAATGACAGATTAGAAAGCCCCTCTCACTCTGTACAATTATGGGATGTGCTGAAACTGAGAGCACAAGTCAAGCTAGGAAAGAACCATAGGACTAAAACTGCCAAAGTATCCGCACCACTCCACCAGGATCAAGCCAGAAAACTCCTCCATAACCTTTTAAACAACTAGTACAGGACAGGGATAAATGCTGCTCTCTGATGCAATAAAGATGCTAGTTGTGTTGATGAAGACAGTGATGTTTTGAAGGTGAAGATACTAGTTATATTTTTAGGAAGAAAGCACCTTAACTTCAAGTGGAAATGCACAAGAGAGAAGTCTGACAAAAAAACAACGTAAGGCACTACATGGGACCAGTCAGGATCATCCTTTTCCCTCCTATAATGCAAATGAAAGGAAAAAACTACCCCAGCCTGCAGGTTACAGATGTTAAAGAGCCAGTTCTGCATCCTCTGTTTGGAAATAAATGATGCTTTTATTTAAATCAAGGAAGATTTTACCCAGTAGCTGGGGATATGTCATCCCTGGTAAGCGGCTCTTTTACAAGACTGCGTAACAAAGTGGTTACTGAAACAGCTTCTTTAGCTGGCAGCATTGAGTTGTTTGACTCACAGGTGCCCATATCACAACACTGCCTAGAGCCAGACTTTTCCTGCCCCAGCACTGGTAGAGGGCATGCTCCATCTCCCAGAGATTTAAAAGCCTTCAAGGACGCTGATGAGGATGGGAGGCAAACATACATTTGGATTATGTCTCAAAGACTTTGGTAACTTGCCAAAAAACTTTCTCGGTTTCCAGTGATGACTTGTGTACCTATTCACATCACAGGCAGCTTTGAGTCTTTGTTACTGCACTATTACTTGGAGAAGCCCTTCATGTACAGAGCAATGGTGGAAATGCTCTACAAAACACTGCAGCAGCCCTCAAGGTTTCAGAAATGAAGCAGCATATGGTGAACGTATGGACAGATCTCCTTGACATACAGCCATGGAAACACCCTTCCCCAGTGCCAGCAAAGTCACTTTATTCCTGCTACCTCAACATCTCTGGCAGGCTAAAGAGGCTCAGAGATGTTCCATAGGAAGGGAAAAATTCTGCCTGCTTGGGCTATCAAAAAGGTTTCTTGGGAATGGGCTCCTCCGAGAAACAGTATAAATTGGCAAATTTCTTTTTGGAACTGAAATAAAAATGCTTCAACACCGCTATATCTCTGAAGGAGTAGAGAAACTCAATGGCTGAGAGCCAAAGCAGAGAGGGATCTTCAGACATAAAGTCTTTGCAAAAACTCTGGAATCAGGAGATTGTCTCTTCCAAATAGTGGATGCCATCAATACAGACCGCACGCCTACTGTGTTTAACAGTCCCTTCTAGGACATCTAGAATCAGCAGAGACTGAAATCAGTTTAGAAGAACCTGGGACAGGATAACTTTTCAAGTGCCTCAATGCCAGTAAAGTAAACTGAGTATTAAATTTTGCAAACCTAAACTTACAACAAAATTAAGAAGCAAGTACACTTCTCTCAGATCATCCAGGAGCTTGACATATAACCTCTTCTTCTCCAGAAGCCCTTTCCAAGAATATGCGGAGATGCTCACAATCCTAGACCTGATACCTCCTGTGAATTCTCTAGGAAAAAGGATGACATGGCATCAAAAAATGTTGGTTAGCTGACCCCAGAAAAATTCCCCAATACACAGTAGAAACTAAGACGGGGTCAGCTGATGTTGAAGATTCACAAGGCTCATCAGAGAGCTGCCAAAAGAGCTGCTGTGGCTTAATGCAGATTCCAGAAGGAGTGTTTAGCTGTTTGGTACATCAGATAAATGTTTTTCATGGTGTAAGAGGAAAAAGATGTGCAACCCAAAAGCATCTGATCACAGGATGACTACCAGAGGAAAGAATAAAAAGGTGATGTACATTTGCCTCCTGTTTCCTCACAGTAGCTGGGGCACCCTAACACCAGCCCCAACACAGCAGCACCACAGTGGGTAACGAAACTCAGAAGGACCATGAGGAACGCAGTGTCCCTTGGGATAAGGAAAATGACTACAGCCATCACAAAGGTTATGCTGCAAAATAAGCACCCTTGACGAATGGATCACTGATCCTCTGCTCTAATTAAACACAAGTTCACTGCCTGGCACAGCCCTTGCCTGTGCCAAGTGCCATATGTCAAGGCAACTGTCATACAAAGCTCAGGGATAGCACTTTCTAATGGCCTTCTCAAGTTGTCTGCTGGCATGGAGGAGGTGGCAGCAGGTCAGACTCCCTCCCTTGGCAAAGCCCTCCAACACTACTCCACCAAGCTTTGCACCCTCGAGCGCTTTCACAGACTCTCACGACATACCCCAGCCCACGCAACACTTCCCTGCAGTTTCATGTTATGAAAACAGCTACAATACAGCCCTCCCCAGACTGCTGCAAACACTTGAAACTAGAAGAACACAAAATGATTGTATGTTAGGACCACATAGGACCCAGTGGAGACATTTGCTATGTAATATGGAGCAGACAGCCTATGTCTCTGCCTTTGTTTTAGGCAGCAGTACAGAAGTAACCTAAGATGCTATCTCTGCTCTCTTTTTCCGCCCACAGAGTTGTTTGTATGCCAGAAACCAGAAGAAGCCAGGCAGGTCCACTGGTGCTGAGAGCTGAGGCATCCAGTGCCCTGGTTCCAGCACATGTTCCTAGGCAACGAAGAAGCTATGGGCTGGGCCCAGGCTGATGGCAAGGAAGACAATAGGTATTTACAGCATTGCTGTGGCTTTCACTTGATCCGCCAGTACTCAGGCACCATACTTCACTTGTCTAATGAACTTCCACAGTTCTGTATGCCCCGACAGTGTAGATCTTTACCAGTCAGGTAAAAAATGGAAGGGAGAGAAGGGTTTGCTCTAGAGAGAGAATAGCCCTTGATCTGTTGGTGACAGGTTTTTTCCTCTGTTGTTAAGGATGGAACCAAAAAATCTGATGTGAATGAAGCCAGGCATGAGAAGACCTTTATGGGCTTCTTGAACAGCCTGTTCTGAAAGGTAAGCTCCCAACGACTTCTCATTCTTGGTTTAAAACAGGCAGGTGGGACGTTATCTGAGAATGTATTCCTCTGTGAAATAATAAAGGCATCTCACATGCCCATCAGGAGATAAAAACTGATTCTTGCAGGTTTTGTTAGGGCAAAGAGTTAATTTCTAGAGAAGTCACTGACTTGGATTAGTGCCAGAAATATTCTGCAACACACCTGGAAAATCCCGCAGGTCAGAACATTACATCTCCGTGAAAGGAATCAAAACGATGCCAGGCATGCTTTGCCCAGATACCCCCTCATCAGGCATAAAAACCAGTGGGAAGTGAGCTTAGCCTCTCCCAGATACCACCGGAGGGGAAAATTTCTCCAGCCTTACCCACCTGCAGTGGAAATACACATACGGAATAGTCACCTGAACAAGGAAGGCCCTATTTTATAGCAGATAGTCCTAACATGCCAGTCTTGGCAGCTTCATGAAAGAGAAAGCACAGACTTGGCTTTTAAGAGCACTATAAGTCAGCCAAGGAATCAGCTGAAGATATCTGGACCAGTTTATGATCTTTGCACCCTGCATTCTTCTTCCTTTTCCATAGTTTTCCTTCTTCTGTGTAAGGCGATGTTCAGCAGAACACCACCTTTACAAAACAGGGTGCAGAGTATGAGCTTGGCATAGATAGAAGGATGCATCAGAGAGAAAGGATGTGTGACTAATAAAGCAGAAAGGTGATGTAGAACAGCAGCACCCTTTGCAGTGTGATAAGAACAACAGTTCCCAGATACTTTAAGTGCCTCCAGCAAAATGTTTAACAGACACCTGCAGTAATAGGCATTTTTCCCCTCTATTAAATTTGTTAACTTAAGACTTCCATTCCAACTTCTCTCAAGCACATACACTCACCAGCTTCAAGTTCTTCTCAAGAATGTGCCATGTTGGCTCCATCACTTCAAACATCATGTAATACTGGATATTCTGTACAAAATTCAGCATCCGCTGCCGCAGTGTGAAAGCACCAGCAAACCTAGGGGAGAAATCACACCCACACATCTTAGAGCTAGCAAATGCCACGAAGAACTATCACCAGGCTTGCACAGTCAAGCAGAGCTAAATATTTCTGTCCTAGCAAATTCACTGCTGCAGTGTGGAAGGGATTATAAAGTTAATGCAAACCACTTCTGATTATTTTCCACATATTCAAATGCCTTTGCCTCAATTAGTAGAGTCAGAGGTTTGAACCTGTTATAGACTGGACAATTACTTTGAATATTTGCTTATATTCAACTGAAATTTTAATATTAAATATTAAAGCAAATTTACTAGTGTAGCTATCGAGTGAGACACGCATTCGTTAGCAGAGCAAAATTTAACAAGATAAATGGTTCATGTTTCTTTCCAGCCTTATTGGGAAAAAAGTATTCTATGCCTTGCATCAATATGTTCAGGGGATCCAAATATTTAATCAAATCACCTGCTACCTGGGGTATTTAATGCAATTTCACCTTTAAAATAGAATGGTAGGATTATATAGAGGTTCTTTCAATGTTAATTTATGCAGGCTCTGTGATGGCAAACTAAGAACTGACTTCAGCAAACTGGGACAGGTCACTGGAGATGTGGGGGATACCCACCCTAGGGGTTTTCAACCATGACTGTCCTGTCCTCTGCTGATCACAGTTGTCCTGTGAGCTGGAGGTTGGACTAGAGACCTTCACAGGTCTCTTCCACTAATACCTCTACAATTACAGAACCAGAGCTACCGTCATGATGGCTGAGGTCAGCGCCAAGGCAGCCGAGGGTACCTTGTCACCAGAAAGTGCTCATTGGCAAGGCAGAAGGTACTACCCGCAATGCTGGGGTCTGCCTCGCTCTCCAAATAGGCACCTCCAGCGCCTGGGGTGCAGATCCAAAGACGAAAATCTACCCTCACAGATGGAACAAGATAGAATGACTTCCTGGGAAAACATCCCACCAATTTTACCTCATTCAATTAGTATCACACCAAAACCCCAAACATTAGCCAAGCTGTGTGAAGGTCATGAGTCCTTGCTAGTGGTCTGGCCAGAAGAAAAGAATGTTGCTTTTAAACTACTGGGGTCCTTACTAATCTTGCTGATGCTAAAGTAGCAACCAAGACAGTATATGCACAGATGTCCTCTGCTGTAACTGTTCAGTGTATAATGAGCTAACCGTAAAGACCATCTCTTCCTTTCCAAAACTTCATGCCAACAAAGAGGAATGAGCCAAGCAGCACAAAGATTATTGAGCAGACACTTCCTACTGAAACCTAAATTGTTATATTTTGACCTCTCTCAGCCTGTAAGAAATTTGTAAGGATCTTTTTCCTGTCAAAATGATCTGATCCATGTCACGACATATCTCACTAGCAAGAAGAAAACCCAAAACTTCAGATCTGATCCAGCAAACAAAAAGGCCATACCACTTAGCTGAATGTAGGGAGAATTGCTTGGCCGTCTTATTGCTGATCCAAACATTGCACAACTGTCTTTCCACATGTTTGCAATAGAACATGTGTCTGAAAAGCATCTGGTATCTTGTCAGTGCTTTCCTGGAAAGAAAGGAGAAACCCATTCAGATTAAGCCCTGTTCTGACTGACAGACTAAGCTGTGAAGGCTGAGGCTGCTCAAAGGCAAAGAGACTTTACACAATATGTTCCTTACGCCTTCAGGACGCACACAGATCCGCACTGAAACAAAGAAAAAAAAATCATATTTGTTGTCATCCCAAAGAATTTCTCTCCAAGGAGTTCCTCCTCCATGTTTCCTGCCAGTGGGTACATCACCAGCCTCCTTCTTCAATTCCCTAGAGCTACCTGCAGAAAGGTCACTCACATAGATGCTGGGACAGAGGGCTGAAAGCCTGCGGTCATGTACCCACTGCACTAAGACTGCTATGATCACCAAAACAATTCACCAGGATTCTCCAAAAAAGATGAAGAAAAAGCTGTAACCAAGCTACAGGCAGCATTACCCCATCAGCAATGCACTGTCAGAAGCAGATGGGTATGCTTTTTTATAGCTTCAGGGACTGGATTCAGGTCTGCATTCAGACACTTTGGTGTAGGTGTCTACAGAGCTCCAGTCGATACAGTTCATGGAACCTTACCAAATAGTATTTTCACTTCCATCAGCTACCATCAGAGCTAATACACTTAATTTGAAAGAAAAAGACATAATTTCAAAAGCATCACATCATTAATAAAGTCCCACTGTGTCAAGTGGATTTTTAGAGGGGAAATTAAGGGACAAACTAATTGTTGGCATTTAACAATTCAACATCTGTCACCCTGTTCATGTTAACACTGCTTGTCCTACTTGCCTTGGCTCACAGTAGCAGGTCTGCCAGTATTTCTCAAGGGAAACAGGGGGCAAATCCCTGCAGAAAAATGAACCATCCTGTCCCTCATAACTCAATTAAATGCAAAATAGCTTGCTATAGTAATTCTAGCAACAGCCTGTATCCTTCTAGTTCGCAACCAGGGATACCAGAAAATGCATTTTGTTCTGCTCTCCACATTTGAGAAATGCTTAATTCTTGCATGGAAACCCTCTTGTCAGAGTTCATGTTCTCAGGGCAAATACTTCAGAAAGCCATGGACAAATGAAAACTGGGTGACCAGTCACAAGTAATAGCAGGGACCAGGCTGAGAAAGCATCCTTTGATCTGTGTCTTCCCACCATTTAAAATGAAAGCTTGACTTTCCAAGCATGCCTTAGACATGGTCTAGTAGGGCTCTACTGAAGATACAATCCATATTCCATAGCCTACAAGTGGAGCAAGCAGGGCTCAACAACCCCAAAGGATTCCATACTAGTCAGCAACTTGAAACATCACTTTAAGGATACAGGCTTTCCAGTATTTTGCTGTGTGGAAATGTGTTTCAACCTCAATGCAAAAGCTTCTGTCTTTTTTTTCCTTCAGTGGATTGATACTTTACCTGTTTATAATAAGGGACAGAGGCCACTTAACAATGTAGTCAAAGGAAAATGCTTCCAGACCACTGAGAGTGAGCTCTGTGGGATCTGCACTGATAATGGCCTTCTCCTGTTTCGTTTCTATGGCCAATACTCTCAAGAGCTGTGTAATGAGGTCATGAGGCATCAAATCAATCTATAAAGGAAAAGCAGGAAAAAAATGAAGCTCCAGGATACTCACAACTACTGCGTAGCAACAGATATGTGGCAGAAGTGCAAATTATTAGAGTCACTCTCAAGTCATCAGACCACCTAGGAAGCAATAGTGAATGACATGATCCGGACAGCACTGCAGCAGACACCGGAGCAGTGTCACTGTAGTATTTAACAATCAGCATACAACATACTACTCTGCTGATCATTCCCCCTTGCCCTCAGCCTCTGTAAGGTCTATTCAGATCTCACACTCCCCAGGCACAGCCTCTGTGCTGCTTCACATCTGTAAAATACACAATCATTAATAGGCAGGACTTCTAATTAGGTATTTTCTTGTACTCCAAAGTGAGCACCCAAGCTGAGATTAAGTATGAGAGACATACTACTACTTCCACCTCATCCTGAGGCCACCCAAAAGCACCTTCTCCATGTTCAGATGCCAGCAAGAAAACGCAGCCCCTTGTCCAGGGTGGGTACTTCCAGTTGCTAATCTGGATGAAAGAGGACTTAACCCAGAGGTCTACAGAAGGACAGCCATCAGTTCTCTCTTCCTTCACTGTACATTCAGCAGGTTCCTACAGGCACACAGATCTTCCCAAATCACGGAAGGCCTTCAGCTCAAATTCATTTATCTTCTGCTTACATACATTCTTACCTTTAAATCGTCCTTGAAAGGATCTGTGTTGGCTGTGCTCATTCGCAGGGCTAATTCAAGCAGAGCCTCTAGCCTCGTAGTTATGATGTCATCTACAGGCTTCTTAAGTTCCTCTTCCGTGAGATCCATGAAGTGAACAAAAAAGTCCCCTTGATCCATCAGGAAATAGTGTTTTATAGATCTGCTCAAGAAAATGGAGGGACAATTGATCATGTTTTTTAAAGCTTAAGTTAATCCATATTAAGCCTAAAAGAACAAAACCAATCAATTCAGCCAGCCTACTGGGTTTAATCACAAAATGTTCCTCTTCATACACTACACACAGCCATATTTGGAGACTCCACATCTGGAGACTAGTCTTTGATACATGTCCCCTCCTCCCTTCCACCTCCGCCAGGACGCTTTTGTGCAGTCAGATCAGGGCTGTTGCTGTTCTTTTTTTCCTTGAAAAATGCACCTTAGAAAAAAAAAGTATGCACTACATTGCTGGGCGAAGGCTTATACTGCTACCCTGAACAACACTCCAACCTCCACGATGTGCAGATCCAGCCAAGAGGCAGTTGCCAATACAGAGCAGAATCTTGGACTCCTTTGAATGAACAAGTATCTGTGCTGATTTTTTAAGTACTCCGGGTACTTGCATTGACTTCTGCTAATGCATAAACTTTAATTTTCACTTGGCACCAGGGAGAGTTAACTGCACTGGGCTAGGAGCTTGGAAATAGCTCAGAGGAGAGTTTGAGGATTAACTTAGTGCCTGGCTAAAGATCACACATGATAACTGCAGTTTTCAGAGCAAAAATAGGACCAGCACAGCCTTAACACAACGTGGCTGCAGACTCCTGATCACTGTCAATTTGGGACAATGCTCAGCCCCTCTGTTTCCCTGATTGTCATTACTCTCTTGAACCAAGAAAACTCCCCCAGTCATAAGGAAGTCACGACAGTGTCAGCGGGTAACTGAGGACACAACAGTTAGAGGAGCGAGATATTTACTGCTGACACACCCTAGAGCGCAAACCCAAATAAAAACCTGACCTAATGCTGGCGACAACCCCACTTCAAGCAGAAGGTTGAACTAGAGACCTACCAAGGTTGTTGGTCCCTTCCAAGCAACACTTCTGGGATGCTGGAGAGAGAGAGTCAGTACTCCCGCTTAACTGAGAAGTGGTTATCTGTCACAGGTCCCTGGGGTTTGATCACAACCATCCCACATCAGCCCTCAAAGCGCACATACACGCTGGAAGCTCAGTAACTTCCTCCTCAACCAGCTGCCCCTGCCCTTGCACCCCAGCAGATTACATGCACACAGGACAGCTGCAGAATGATCTAGCAGAGAGGCTGTTTCGAAGATGAGGAGGTCACAGACATCAACCCCAGCTGGAGAGGCTGAGCAACACCTTAACCCGAAACTACATTGTGACAGACAGGCCCAACAGAAGACATGTGCCACCAGAGCTTTGGAAGCCAGTGTCTTTTGAACAATCCTATTAAGCAAAGAAGGCTTGGAAGGATGACAGTCATTAGCAAGGCTAGGAACAATCTCCTTAACTGACAGGTTTCAGACAGCTCTTATAACCTTTCATGAAACAAGGCATGTTCTCTGGTGGTTTTCACAGGACAGGAAGGCACATATCAGTTTCAAAGGACTGAACCATGGATCTTCAGGTCTTCCCACAACCTCTCTCAGCTGGAGATGTAGTGTTCCCAGGTCTGAAGCAGACACCTTTGTTGTGGCTACAACTTTTTCAGACCTAGCATAAAGCAGGCCCAAAGCAATCCCACCTGGCCTGCTAGGCACATTCACTTCAGTTGCCATTACTGCTCCAGCTTATATCTCCCAATTGGCATCTCCTTGTGCAAGTCACTTGGCAGGTTTGTCCCACGAAGCTCAGACCACTTTCTTTCACAGTCTGTCACTGGTTTGAAGCAGAACCTCTGGTACCAGGTCTCAGCCCAATTACAAACTATCTTACAACCAGCTATCAGCTGCAATTTCTTCTACTATTTGCTGCTGTGTTGGTCTTCTGGATAGTTAAGATTCCTGTTTTTTCTGTTTTCTGAAGATAGCAATAAAACTAAAAGCTTGATTAGCACAAGAAAGCTGGAGTTTGCATGCTAGAATGCACTTGCATTTGCTATCAGCTGAATGTGTTACAAGAATCAAAATATAGGTTTAAAATGAACTTTAAAAAAAGGACAATATTAAGAAAAACCCGGTACTGAAACTTGAGGCTAATACACTTACTCTGTCCCAATTACCTGTGTTTGCCTGAACAATAACCATGGCATATATTTGGTGAGATACTTAATATCAAGCTATTTCTTGTTCAACTTAAACTCTTCTTGATCATACCAGATGATATTGGGAAACTCCCTTCCTGGGTGGAAGTGACATACTGCTGTGGGACAAGTCATGAGAGAGGTGGGGGACGTCCATACTTGAGGGCAGGTTTTGGGATTGGGCTAGATAAAGCCACAACTGCCCTGACCTAGTTTTGGCAACAGCCTTCCAAGGAAGTTGGACTAGAGACCCCCAGACATCCTTCCCACCCAACATTTCTATGATTATACACTTTTCTTTTTTTTCTTCAGGAAAAAACCCAAATCTTATTTTTTCAGGTCAATCTTTCTAATGGAAATCGAGAGAATACATCAATAATATCCCAAGAAAAGAGCGCTAACTTCAAAACCTTATGCTCACTATCAGAACCAATCTATTTAACATCTGTTTAGTAAAATAAATCAAACCTTAGGTGAGCCACCAGCTCTTTCTCCTCCATTAGGAAATCCAGAAGAACTTTGCTAGCATAGTTATATGCTTTTTCTATTTGTTCCACATATGCTCGCTCTTTTAAAGTATAGATGACCTCTTTAGCCACAGGGCAGGTAACATCCCGTCCACATTCTCGCACAACATTTAAATATTTCCCTAGAAGCAAAAAGAAAGAATATCCCATATTCATACCTACTGTATATCCAACAGGAAAACTTTCAGACCACTACCTTCAAGAGGAAGATATGCTGTGAAATGTTTACACTAAATCTTACTGAAAGCTAGAAAGGATTCAGACACCTTTCAAGACCTTTCATCTTTCAAAAGATGATACAGAATTTTAAATTAGGCACCCAGTATCACATTTAAGAAGAGTTTTAGAGATGGTTTTGTTTCCCAGTGGTAGCAAAACATCTCTGCAGATAGCCAGAAACTCTGAAGAACTGGTGCTGCACTTCAGAAGTAGCTTTTGGAGGGTTCTTTACTTATGGAAAAGAACAATGGCAGCAATCAGATTGCATGCTTCATTTAAACACCCAAATTAAAACACAATATGTAAAACCTCAGTTGTCTAGCTCCATCTAGCTAGCTGCTAGAAAACTGTACCCATGAAACAGCAGTACAACAGAGAGCTCCCCTTGCTGCTGGACTCCCTCCCACGTGTTGTTTTACTTACAGGATTTGGGGTTCTTTTAAAATCTGATTCTTCTGTTCCTCTGAAAAGTTCAGCTAGACAACCCCATAAACTGGCAAAGCATGATGACATTTACTTTATCTTTAGATAAAGAATAGCAATGCTTGTCTCAAGATTCTTCCTACATCAGAAGCATATCTTTACCTACCTGTGCTTAGTATTTTGTCAGCCATTTTCTGCAAGAATGAGGGAATCTGTTGCTGAACAACAGTATATCTTTGATCCCAATACTTGTCATTATAGTCCTCCTGAATCTTCTCCTTCTGCAGCTCATGTTCCTCCACCATGAACTCACTGAACAGTTAAAGCAGATGTTTAGAAGCAGGAAGTGGTACAATGAGGATTACTTTTTTTGACCTGTAAACTGGTAATATGATCTATCAGAAATAAGGTCTCATGAAAATGCATTCCAATCAAGAACTGAAACTAGTCTGTATTTATAGTAAAAGGAGAAGCATTATGCAGAGTGATTCTGCTAATCTGCAATCAATTATGACAGAAACAGAATTTTACAGGGTTCACAAACCAAGTCTAAACATTATTTGGTAGTCAGTGTAGAGGTGAGGAAGCTGGCCTTTGTCTGCCTTCTCACCGTCAGGAAAGCATTAATTTTAGCTATTTTAACTTGAGTTTTGCCCCCCCTTAGCATTCTGAAAATGTGGGAAACAGAAATGCTGCATAAACTATTAAAGACAGCAAAATGCTTCAAATGATTCTATAAAAGCCAAGAAACTTCAGAGAGTGCTGTTAGCTCATCTCAGATTAGCATATCAGTGGACTACATTTAACCTAGATTCACTGAGTTATCACACTCGTGCCCCATGAGAAGAGGGCTCACCCCTGTTGTGAAGAGGATGAGGATGTGAGCAGAGACTATTTAAAGGGGGACGGGCATGGTAAGGTGGAATTTGAGTGGATTGCATATTTGAACTGTTGTGCTATTGACTTTTGCATATAATTTCTTTCAATCTGGAAAAATAAAGCAAGTGACAGTGTCTCTGACTGTATAAGCCCTGAATCAAACAAGAAATGTAGTTAAACACTCTCTTGCAGCTCCCCTTCCTTGCAATGCTGCCTTGCCTACCTACTGCTGCCAGGTCCAGGCCCCTAGGCTATGCAGACTCTATAGAGCAGAGGGATAGGTGCACTAAAAAAGTAGAAGCCAAAGACCCGAACAGTATTTCTTAACTTTTACATTCATTTTCATTCCTTAACTGTTCTTTACCTGTATGGATCATTAATGATGCCTCGATATATCCACTTTTCCAGAATTTCAAAATAAGGCACACTGGCTGCCTTGGTTAAATACAGGCACAGCTCCTGGGCCTGGCTGTCCCCCGTGTAATTGAAAGTCTTGTCATGGAGTAAGCTCAGGGTTGATCCTCCCATACACTCACCTTTATCCACAGAAGTAGCTAAAATTTAAAAATATAGATATAAGACACAAAGCTGACACAGATTAATTGCACAAGCTATGCTGTTAAACTTAATGAAGTTAGCAGTTGATTAGCTGACCATCCTAAGTCACAGATCTCCATGTCAGCTGTAGACCCCTGCTGTTAGATGCAAGGCCATTCCACCAAACAAGCAAAAGCTTACATCCTGAAATGTCCTAAAATGAAAACTCAAATGATCCACAGTGTAAAATAGCAATAACCAAACCCAGCCCTCCAGGGGAGGAGAACTGAACTCAGGTAGACACAAAGTACATGGTGGCTTAGAGTCCAAAAGCCTCCTACACTGAGGAGGCACAGAGATCCACTTTCCAGGTGGTAATGGAAGAAACACACACTTCAGTGACTCGCTTGAGAAACCTCTGATCTCAAAAGCACTTCTGTTCTCAACTGTAACACTGAGGTAGCCATGCATATAGCTCGAACACCAGGATTTAGGTAGGTTGATAGGGAAATTTGTACTTTGCCATCACAAAAGAGATGTATGGATAGAGGAATACAGTACTGTTGTGAGTTTTGGATTGACATAAATCTTAATGTAGTTGGCTAACTGCTGTGTTCCAAAAAACTGAAAATTTCAGCAAACACGAATACCAAGAGGGATCACTCAATTCCAGATTGTGAACAGAACAGATATTTACATCCAGATAAATTCTCTGGGTTGAGTAGAGAGAAACGTACAAGTATTCTCACACCGAAGAGTTTAACTAAAATTACTGAGGTAACTGCATCTGTGACCAACAACCTCAACAGCACAGGCTGGGACTGGCTGGCTGAGGAGCAGCACTGCAGAGAACAACCAGGGGGTCCTGGTGGACAACCAGCTGATCATGGGTCGGCAGCGTGTCCTTACAGCAATGAACACCAACTGCACCCAGGGCTGCACTGCCAGCGATTATTCCCCTCTGCCCAGCACTGGTGAGGCTGCACCTGGAACACTGCGTTCAGTTTGGGGTCCCCAGTGCGAATGACAAAATGAAGAGTCCAGTAGAGTCCAGTTAATAAGATGGGGGGAGCTGGTGCCCAGGGCACACAAGGAGAGCCTCAGGGAGCTGGGCTTGTTAGCCAAGAGAAGAGAAGATGAAGCTGAGGGTTGTCGAACCTCATTCCTTCACTATCCAATGGATGGTTCTAGAGGAGATGGTATGAGACTCCTCTTGGAGAAGCACAGTGACAATATCAAAAGGGCAAAAGTTACAAGAAGGACAACTCCAGTTGGAGATACAGAAAGAAATGTTCACAAAAAGGGTGGTGAAGTCATGGGAAAGGGCTCAGAATGGTGCGGGATCTCCACTGCTGGGGATTGTCCAGACTCGCCTGGACACGGCCCTGAGCAACCTGCTGTAGCTGTGAGCAAGGGGCTGGACTAGAAACTTCCAGGGGTTCCTTCTGGTTGAATCGGTTTGTGGTTATACATCCACACATAGCTGGAGAGGCATTTGGAAAGAAGCTGAGTAGAGACAACAGTGGTGGAAACAACTGATCCGAAGGGCATGGATTGTGAAGGTAAAAGGCATGGACTTGCCTCATGACAGCTCTGAAGGGCAGATTCAGCCCTAGAGCCCACCACCCTCAAAAAAGAGCAGTGCTCTGACAAGTACGATTCCCTTTGGCTTTCTTTTTTAATATAACGTAAAATTAAAATGACATATGCCCTCTCTGTATTGCTACTCTGCAGAGTTTTCAGAAGCCACTGTCACGCACCTGTCAAAATGTAATGACTGTATTTTTGAAACTCACCAAGCGAAGCAAGAATCTCCAGGGTCCTCATTGTGGGCTGGATATAAAACCAGAGCTTCTGCAGTGACAGAAGTCCCTGTCTCTGAAGATGTTCCAACTGGGTAATTAGTATCATGTATTCCTTGATTAGAGTCCGCATAGCAGCAGCCAGAGCATGATTTACCTGTCCATACTCAAAGGAAGACTTCTCCTCTATGAACCTGTAAAAAGCAAAATGGAAACTCTTTCAGGCAAGGCACCTTCTATCAATTTTCAGGAATTTTATCTTCAGGACACTGTACAAGCACACGAATAGATCATGTGTTGGAAAGCGCACCAGTCTTTAGATGGAGTTTCGGGTTCCACATTTGCTCTGTGTCCCCCTGCCTATTTCCCATTACCACATTTCCTAGTACGGAAAGCTGTGGGAAGACGTTTCCCCCCAAATTGCAGGGAAACTAGAATTATTTGCAAAACCACTATGTAAAAAGTGAGAGCCAGGATTTTCAAGGTGATTGTCTTTGCACAAGCAACAGATTAGGGACAGGAAAAGATCTCAAAAGGAAGCGATGTGCACCCAGACATGTGGGAAAAGCACTGTTGCTAGCTTCTGACACCACATGCCACAGCAGGGATTTATCTGACCAGATTAAGATGGCTCCATATGTGTTAGTGGAGAGAGACAGATGCTTCTGAACACAAGTCATATCATCTGGAAGGAGGCATGTAAAAGAGATTGGATGAATCACATCCTAAAAATGCTTTGCTCTCTTTGCTGATCTTTTAGGGACTTTGAATCAAATGCAGACATCTACATAACAAACATCTGCTGTTAGTGAGATGTGCCTTGTACTAGGATCTTTTAACAATTACTTAAGGTAGCTACCAGAGACTAGGCAGCAGTAGGTTCTCTTGTGCAGAAGCACACAAAGGTTGTCTCAGTCTTGGATGCCCAGAGGAGAGCAAAAAGCAGGAAATGGGGAGAAATTCATAGCAGAGTGGGAACAGACAAGACAGAATAACCAGACATATCCTATTTGCACTTTGCCTGAATGTACCAAGACCAAGTCTGGACAAAGCAAAGGTGAGGTGAATGAAGAAGTGAACTGGCAACACAGAGAAGAAACCCAGCAAAAAGAAATGTTGCTAAAACCAATACAAAGAAATTGTCATTCTTATTTTATATTCCTGTAAGTTTAAATTAAGCTTGGAAGTTAACATCTGCACAATGACACATTCACTATTCTACAACCTGGTGCTCAAAGGAGAACATCTTCCTCTGACAAAAGTCAGCTTGGTACCTGGTGACAGCAGAGTAACTTGCTGCTACAGGAAGAATCCTGGTCACGAGCTCTTTGATGGACAAGTCAAGGTTTGGATCAACTGAAAATGCGCGGTTCTGCCTGCCTACAAAAGGCTGTGCTGTGATGTATCTTCCATCCACACCAATCAGAACATACAGCAAGTCCTCCACAATCACGGATTCTTGGGAGGCTAATGGCAAAGTACCTGTTTTCAAAGAGAAGACAAAAAAAGAACACAATCAGAACATGCTGCGGTACTACCTGATCATCCACTCATATCATTTCAGTCTAGTACCCGAAGCTTAAAAGGAATATATACTACCATTCAAAGAGAACAAAGGAAGATCACACAAAGCTGAATCAAGATAGAGAGAAATAAAACTGAGTTAGGGTCAACTCCAAAATCATCTACCTGGCTTTCATGGAAAACAGAATCCCTTGCTCATTTATACCCAAAGCAAACCATGTAGACAAGGCTACACATCCGACATCTGTGGCCAAGAGAACATCACCTATCACCCACAGCTTGTGCTGCTGATCCTTCCACCCAAAAGGGCTCAGTTATACTGGACCCAAAGAGCTCCAGTCTTGTCAAAAACAATCCCTACCTCCCCTCCACTGAAATATTCAAATATCAGGAAAACAGTTCAAATACAGACACAAAGAAATGCTACCCCAGCAAAAGCTGCAGGTGGACTGCAAACTGTAGGGTCTCTGAATGGTGCGGTCAACTACAAACAAGGTGCAAAGAAGCATAAAGGACTCAACCCAAAATATAACCAAGTGCATCAGAAGATCAGGGAACCAAGTGGCTACAACACTAACTACAACAAAGCTTATCTCATGAAACAAGGTAACAATCCCTCTCCATTTGTAGGATTGTATGTGAGAGAACAAATGGTTCTGAGCTTGCTAGGAACATACCCTTACAGCACATCCCAAAAGGCCCCGGCAGAAATGCACTGGTGAACAAGCCATTTAAAGGCACCTCCAAGAATGAGCCTATTGTTTTCATGTCCCCCTTAGATGCCGCTCAAATACACATCAGGAAGAAGCTACAGGTTTCTTGTAGGAGCCTCCACAGTTCTGGGGAATGGAAACATGAGTCTCTAACTCAGCTGTTCTCTTCCAAAAAAAGTACTTAAATCTAATTTATGAATAAGAAACTACACACAGCTCAGCGTAAAGCTAGAATACAACAGGGAGAGATTAGTCCCCTGCTGCTCTAGTGAGGAGACAGCAAATCAGGGAGGTTGTTATAGCCTTACTGGAGAGGACATTGAGCTGGGTGGATTGATGAATACTCCCTTGTCAGGTACGACTACAGATTTTTCAGCTGAGAATACAGATGTGATACTCCTACAGTATGATTTTATGGAGGTTGTGACTCGAGAGAAAAAGGACTGGGAAACTCAAAACAGATTAGATCCCATGGATCAACAGTGGGGCGGGAATTCAGTATAGGAGAAACACTGTGAACAAAGTAAGTTTGGGGTGTTTTTTTTGAACCCCACTCTTCAGCTGCAGAGTACAAGGAGCCAAGTTTTGCTTTCATCCTGAGTGTCATGAAATCTGAACGGCGCTTCTGAACAAGTACAAAACATAAGAAGTTAATGCAGTTTTCCCTGTATATCACATACCTATAGGTACTGTTGTGTCAGTGCTTAAACTGGTGCCAATTAAGAAATCGCCAATAAGCGCGGGTCTCTCATACACCCAGGATGGAAATACTGGAATGGGCTGACCAGAATTCTTCTTGTTCTGCTTATCTCGGAGGATTTTTCGTGTAAGCTCAAGAGGCTGTTGGAAAAAGAAAGAGAGAGAAAGGAGAAAAAGAGATCTTCAAAAGTCCAAGAAATTTTGAATTTTAAGCAGAAATTGACTGTAAACTGATAACTTGGCAACAGAAAGTAGAATAGCTGATGTTTCAGTAGCACGGTGTAGGATTTGGTCTCCCAGTACCATCTAGTCTATTGGTCTCAGAGCTGCAGAGGTGATTTTTTTGTACAGTTGGCCGTCTTTTTATTGGAGGGTACACCAAATAACGCCTTTCTGCACCCCTACCAGGCAGCTTACTAGTTTGCAAAGCGCACCACATGAAAGCCAGCAAACTCCTTCCAGAAGCAGTAAGCAGTAACATCTTATTCAAGGGGCACTTACAGATAGGCTAACGAACACCTCTGAACTCGGTTTCTGCACAGTGCCCCCTGAGTAGCTGCATGTCAAATGCAATCCAGATAACCCACCCACAGACAGCTGGAAAATGATGGGGAGTTTTTCATTCAGAATAGGGCATCAGCAAAGGAAGTGAGTTGTTAAGACCGAAAGACTTTCCAACCCTGGCTCCAGGCTTCTGACACTAAAATAAATAGAGTGCAAGATTAATTATCAGCTGGAGAAGCCTGTGAGATGTACAACCTACATGAATATTTAGAGCCCCAAGCGCAAACACAGGGCACATGCTTATGAATGCCATTTCTTAAGTTCCACAGATGTGTACGTGAAATGGGAAATGCACAGGGTCATTTTACTTTCCTCTCATAGGAGGTCTCAGAGGAGAGAGGAACTTGGGAAGGAAGCAAACATGCGTGTGAGCTTTGCCTCTTAAAGAATAGCACTCTTACATGTGAGAGGTAATTGATGCATGCTGTGGCTGGCCCTGGCTATTTTTCATATTCTCAGAGCTGCCCAGTGCTGGGTCTTGAAATCCTTCAAACAAGCATCAGCTGTGGGACTAGTCCTCCAAGCAGCACCAATTCTGGGCATGTTTGCTGCAGCCTCGCTGCTGGCATAATGCCGGTACAATGCCCTCAGGACAGAGAGGCACCCCAAAGCAACACTACATTTCTACTTATATCATATATGTGTGATCTGCTAGAAGGACCTCAATTTCCTCTGCTCCTCTAACAGAAACAGAAGTCTCATAGGAGGGTATGGAGAAGGATGAAGCGCAAAGTAAGCTGCCAGCAATTCAAAGGATGACTAAACTTCACATAAAACTGCAGATCTCAGTGTAAGACCGAGTCCTTCACATGGGTAAGCAACTTGAAGCCCTTCATATATCTCAAACCCATACAGTGAGAAAATACTCCTCTATTGAAGTAGTATACAGTAGTTTACTTGTCCGTCACGATCTGGACACACAGACATTGGCTAAAAGATGAAAACATCATGTGCACTTCCTGTATCATCTTGAGCTCCAGGTCATTAAAGACCTGTAATGGAAGACTGCCCTATAGTACTGGCCCTATGCAACACGGCTGTATGAACAAGCTTCTGCTTAGGAGAAGGGCAGCCATCATTACATCTTCCCAAATGGCAGGGAGGAATGAGTTGGAAGAAAAGCTCCACAAACCATGGACCTCACCATCACAGCATCTCCATGAACCATGAATACTTATGAGAGAGCAGACTAAGAAAGCATCCAAGACCAAAAGGTTCTGAGGCATTGCGCTAAGTATGGGAGACCATACAACCTAACAGAGCCAGGTAAGATCTCAACAGCATATGTGGATGGAAGACAGTACTATAAAATAGAGCTATTTCAGTGAGATGGACTATATGAAAGTTACACCTTGGAAATTCAGAGACATGAAGTAATTCCTGTCTTCAACTTCAAATGAAATCAGATCATAGAATTCATCGAATGGTTTGGGTTGGAAGAGACCTTTAAAGATCGTTCAGTCCAACTCCCCTGCCGTGGGCAGGGACATCTTTTACTAGATCAGGTAGCTCAATGCCCTGCCCTGCCTGACCTTGAACATTGCCAGAGATGGAGCACCCCATTTAAACCTACCCTCTTTCTGTTTAAAACTGTTGCCCCTTGTCCTGTCACTACAGGCCCTGGTAAAAAGTCTTACTCCATCTTTTCTTATAAGCCCCCTTTATATATTGAAAGGCCACAGTAAGGTCTCCCTGGAGCCTTCTCTTCTTCAGGCTGAACAACCCCAAATCTCTCAGCCTGTCTTCATAGGAGAGGTGCTCCAGCCCTCTTTATCATTTTTGTGGCCCTTCTCTGGACCCGCTCCAACAGGTTCATGTCTTTCTTGCACCAGGGACCCCAGAGCTGGATACAGTACTGCAGGTGGGGTCTCACCAGAGCAGAAAAGAGGGGGAGAATCACCTCCCTCGACCTGCTGGTCACGCTTCTTGTGACGCACCTAGGATACGCTTGGCTTTCTGGTCTGCAAGTGCATACTGCCGGCTCTTGCCCAATTTTTTTTCACCAGTATCCCCAAGTCCTTCTCCAGAGGGCCGTTCTCCATCCCTTCATCCCCTAGTCTGCACTGATTGTGGAGATTGCCCCAGCCCAGGTGCAGGACCTTGCACTTGGCCTTGCTGAACTTCATGAGGTTCACATGGGCCCACTCCTCCAGCCTGTCAAGGTCGCTCTGGGTGGCATCCCTTCCCTCCACTGTATTGACTGCACACAGCTTGGCGTCATCGGGGAACTTGCGGAGGGTGCACTCGATCCCACTAGGTATGCCATTGATGAAGATATTGAATAGTATTGGTCCCAATACGGACCCTTGAGGGATTCCATTTGGACATTGAGCCATTGACTGTAACTCTTTGGATGCAACCATCCAGCCAATTCCTTATCCATCTAGTAGTCTCCCTTCCTTCTTGGCCCTGGGAAATACCTACTGTAAGATTCCCTACTTCCTTACTACAAGAGAATAAGCCCAATAGCTTCCCAGTGCCTGAGGGAAGTCCCTGAAATGAGATGAGCTCATGGCACTGTGAGGGAGCATGCTGGAACCTCTCTCCCTGTGAGCTCACAGCCTACGGGCTGGGGTGTACCTGGAGTCAGGGTGTGGGCTGTGGCATCTGTCCCTAATAAGAAGGCAGGGTCTGAGGCCTACTTCTTATAGTGATCATGAAAAGGAGCAGCCAGAACCCCTACAACAAATGCAGAACCTTCTTGATCAAGGGACTCGTTCTTCTTCATTAGTGATTCTCTGGGATGACAAAGAGGCAGGGAGCTTCTGTTGGAGTTCAGCCAGCTCTAGTGTGAATTTGTTAACTGGCAGAGTTCAAAAAAGTTGACACAGTTTTGGCTAAAAAGGACACAGCTACCTGAAAGGGAACACATAACTTCTACCACCTTGATGATTCTTGGGCCAAAACTGGTCCAAGCAGCAACTCCAATCACTGAAAGATCCCTGGATGATCTCTCTGACAATGCCAAGTAATCACAGGGCAGATGGCACAGCACTTGTGGCACCAGTGACAAAAGCACGTGTCTCAGGGGTATGAATCACTTCCTCTCTTCAATGACAGCCTGGACAAAACTCCCAGGACTGAAATGGCTGGCCCTCAGGTGTCAGCCTGGCACTTAAAACCCCAAGGGATAGGGTGGCAGTTTGCCACTGTCATGCTGATGAACCTGCATCTGGTATCTTAAGCAATGACAGTGCCCAAATCCATCGAGGTAGAGAAAGAGCTCATCTTCATGCTCAACTGCGCCAAAGGGATCCCTGCACTACAGCCCTGGTGCCAGGGAAGATGGGCAGCGGTGGGCATACACTGGACCTAGAGCACACGACCAAGGAGGAGTGGTGGGAGCAGCTGGGCTTTGCTGGGTCTGGCCAACAGAAGGTCTAAGAGCAGCCTGCAACTACAGGAAGGACAAGTACCAAGACGATGGGTGCAGACAAGCTCCTCCCAGCTGTGGCAGAAGGTTCAGGTGGCCACGGACACAAGCTGCCTCTTGGGATAGTGAGATTGGCCAGGAAGAGATGCTTCTTCCCGCAGAGGGGGAGCAGCCATAGGGGGTCAGCAGGGAGATGGGGTATCTCCCTCCTGGGGGACTACAGGACGCAGGTGGACAAAACAACAGCTGCCCTGATCTAGTGTGGGTGACAGTCCTGCTGTGAGAGGGAGGCTGGACTGGACAACCCCAGTGGTTCCTCCGACCAGTGCCACAACGAGTCTGTGGAAACAGTGGCAGCTATCCTCCATGCCTGGTGAATGAAGATGGTGCCACGAGGATCACAAATAGAGTCGCCCAAGTGAGACCCCTGCATCCATTAATACAGCATGAAGGATCACTCCAGGGCTTGTGCCAGTGCACAACCCGGCTTCTAGAAGACACGGAGAAATGAATCAGTTGCAATTATTATGACTACTTGACAGTCCTCTTGGGAAGTGGCTCTAGCAGAAACTCTGGGTCAAGAGATTTCAGCTATGTGAATTGATACAGCCCTACTGACTCAGTGGCCCCAAGCACCTGACCATTAGGGCTTTTTATCAGAGTTTCAGCTCTTTAAGTCTGAAGAAAGTATAAATGGAGCAGCAGGGAGGCACAAATCTTTTTAATTGGCTTGCATTGCCATTTCAATTCCTTTGGTTGTGAACTGCACATCCCAGAGAACACCACTTACCTTCTTTCCTCTTTTAGCAAGTCTGCACATAAATCCTATTTAAAAGATCAGTTATCTTACTGGAAATTCATCTTCCCTTCATGATCTAAATCAACCACATGACGCAGATCATCTGTGAAGGATTTGGATGAGTCAGGCATGTATTTCAGTCTGTGCAGACGCGTATTTCACAGTGTATGTGGAACAAGGCTGGTTTCATCACTGCCTGACAGCAGGAGGTGGTTGGACTCTCTCTGTTAAGGATTTGAACTCTCCATCATCACATGCATGTACAGCCCTTCAGGCTGAGACCCATCAGGTGTCCCAAAACACTGAACATGGAGGGTCCATTCCTCTAGCCATCGACGGCCTGAAGTGATCTGACCACCACAGCAAATTCCCCACTTGGTGGCAGATGCATCATCTACTGTCATCACCTTCACCAGGGACAGGAGGGTGTTCTTGGAAGGTGTCGGCTCAGCTCAGCCACTCCCACAGAAAGATCTTCACAGACGAAGAGTAACTGCACATCTGCTGAGCAGTCAGCATGGGCAATAAACCATATACAGCCACAGCTAGGGAGCTCAACAGCAAAGGTTGGTAAGACACATCATGAGTGTGAATGCCGCCACATGGCTAAGACAGGGCCAGCATTGCCACAGAGTAAGCAGCTGAGTGAAGCACATGCCTCACCAATGCAGGCAGACCCCGTGCACTAACAAGACATAGATATGCCTCCACTGAGCAAGGGCGTGGGACTGCCACAACAGAGACTGCAGATGGAGAAGACACCAGCATGTGATTTCTGAGCATCCACAAGCAGGTCGGCATCCTCAGAAACAGTCACATGCAGAGCCTGGAGGCTTGTCCTGTTAGATTTTATTGATCAGTCATCAGAAGGCAGAACAGAAACAAACCTCTGGGACAAAGGTAAACTGCAAAATTTTAAATGGAAGCATTTGCACATATTGTCCAGTTGCTCACTCGCTATGGACCTTATCACTCTTTTACCTGTGTCCAAATAACTGTCCATACACAGTTGCTCCCGTGCCTTCCACAGCCAAAATGCCCTTATCTTGACCCACAAGCTTTTCAACATATTTTTCTCCC